TATTGCAATAAAACGGCAATTTCATACTTTAACCCCTAATATTTACATCGCTCCCTATTTACAAAATTGCATAGTGATATTTACAATACAATTTCGCAGCACTACACATTCTTTGATTGTTTACCTGCAATACTTATATAACATTATCGTTTCGATGTTCCAGTGGTTCAAATTACTTTGTACGTATGGTTTGGAAATACTGCACCTTGGATATGTTACATACTATTCATATGGAATATTATATTTATAAGGTAAGTAAGTGTTCTTCTATAATTTTGCAAGCTAGGACACGTTTCCACTGAGAGTCAGGCTCAATGAAGTAGACAAGACGAAGAGGCATTTTTTTTATAAATTGAACTTATTTACATGGTAATAAGACAAATATGGTACCTCAGTACAAACGTAGCGCGCTTTGTAAGTGAGTCTATAGAGTGTCAGTGGAATGGCGATTGATGGCATTTATTTAATCAATAACTGTTATGTATAATTATATTTGTATTGAATTGATATTCAATTATTTTTTTGTGAAATTACTCCACTAGTTTGTTATAATTATTAATACAAAGATCGAACACTCAGAAAAAATTTTCAATCCGGCCGGATTCGAAACGTCGTCTTCTAACAAACAGTGCCAGACGCTGTGCCAACTTTTTGACTTTCTATTGAATCAGTTCGCTTGAAAATCGATTGAAATAATCGACACAAAAAACTGCATCCCTAGTAGTCAAAGTCCATGGGATTGCAAGCAGGTTTTGGTCTAAAAAGATTTTTTGCATCGAAATTTGTAATATGTATGGAATTATACCAAATTCCGTATTTGCCGTTTCCGTCCACGATTTTGGCAGAAATAGATTAAAATCGGGCGCTTTAGGTAAAAGCACGGTAAAACCCCGGTTGATTGGGTTTTAACCCACTGCTCATCTCTGCTAGCGCGTATCGTCTCAAGCGTCATTCATTGCGCGACTAGAATTACTTTAAAATCTATCTTCAGTTTTTCTAGGTGAATAGTAAATTATCCCACGAATATCTCACGCTAAACCTCTAAATTCTTACAATAATGCCTTATTTTGCTTCTTTAGAGTACAAAAATTATAGTCTCACTTTTAAATTATTATGTATGGTGTATCATCATTAAGTTATATTTAATTTAATTTAAAATTTTCTATTTTACGTTTATCGTAATATTTTTTGTTACAAGACACAAAAGTAAATCTAACATTGCTACCATATAATCGCTTCTTTTTTGGATAACTAAGTTGACATCTCGAATTCGTTGTCGTTCAGCTATTAACCGCTAGATGGCAGCACATTGATCGAAATTTCAATATAAAATCAAAACATCGTAACTTGCAATAATAGGTATTAAACTTTCAACGATATGCCAACGGTGTAAAGTTTAAATTATATTGACAATTCAGAGTTTGTTATTTCTTTGTAAATTTGAAACTACGACCAATCGTTATCAAGATTTCATAGTGTTTCAAAATATGAATGTGTGAATTATGGTGACAGCGGTTCTGATAGTAATCGAGGTTTAAACCATTGTTTTTTTTGTCGTGGTTTTAGCAGTTTACGGTTGCTGCAGGAAAGTACAGAGTAATGAGTTACATAACCCCCATATTTGGTTTTATGTCGAACCACATCGAAATATGAATAACATGTTTTGGGTAATTGTTTCAGAATGACTGCAAAACAATTGATTTGTTGCTACAAAAGGCCCGTTTTAGTAAACTGCCGAGGTCTTGGGCCGTACAATAAAATCCTCAACTTCGTTCTCCTATCAAGTCCTATAGCGCACGTATGTACGAAAAACAATAAATAACGCACACACTCAACATAGCCCCGCACAAGGGAAACCCTGTGTCGCGGGTGCCATGGACACACTCATAGACAACCACAAATTACACCCAAACTCACGAGAGAAATAAATGTAGGCCATACAAATATTCCTTCCGGCCCGGGAATCGAACCTGGTACCTTTGAGTCCGGTAACCGTTCGGCCGCGGAGGCAGTTAGAGTCAGACAATATGTTTGAAATTATCGTCATAATGTAATAATACCACATAATATAATGTATAAGGCATTATTCATAGTGGCTGCGGGCGCGGGTGCGCGTACATCGAATGTACGTAGACGCTGATTGCGTTCACAGTGGCCACGCGCACCGCGGATAAAATCTATTGGCTCTGTCCGCCCGTACCTTTCACAGTGCATAGTCTAGCGTCTAGCGTCTGTTTGCGATTTCGACGTGTGAATCTACCCGTTCATAGCCGCTTCAGCTCTGTCAAAGGGAAGACGCCAAGATGATAAGCCCTAACGCTTTCGTTTTCGATGCACGTCTGTCTTCGCTAACGCACACATTAATAACAGTAGTATACTAAAAATAATCTGGAATGATCCCTATGACAGATAACAAAAATGTACTAAATCGTGAGAAAAAGTGAGAAACAAGCAAAAAAAACGTTTTTTTTTGTTTGAAAAATAATTACGTTTTTTACGACAGAGCATGCAAAAGTTTACTATACTCTGAGATGAAATCAAAGTAAAAAAATGTAATGTAAAATAGTGGAACTACTGAAAAGGGCTAAAAATTAATGCTAGATGTTTTATATTGTTTTTAAATTGTGTGCATTTAAAGACAAAATATTATCGAATTATATTTTTTATTTCAAACACCATATTTAATAAGATAATCTCGAAAAACGATTTCCTGCGGAAAGATTTTTATCCTATTGGCAAAGTTTCGGGGATGAACAACCTCTGGCTGTCCTTTTTGTTTATTCGATTTTTTATTTTTATTTGTTATTTAAACACGAATACTTTTAAGCAGGAGTGTGAATAATTTATTGCTATAATACTAATACCTTATTAAACTAAATATTTTTTGTATTAAGAATAATAAAATTAAAATAATAAATTGGTTCAGTGCTAAATGGCGTTAATTACAATGAATTAAAAAATAAAAAGTCATAATTATTAATACAAAGATCGAACACTCAGAAAAAACACTTAGAAAAAATTCCTTCGATCCGGTTGGATTCGAACCGACGTCTTCTTGCATACCGTGCCAGACGCTATACCAACTAAGCCATGGAACGAACCAACGGACCTCACGAATTTTTCTATGTGCTTGCGTCGTGTCTTTGTACTTGGTTTTTTCAACGACTTTTTAGTCGTAGCGCCATCTATGAGAAATCTTTGACAGATTTATCACCCAGTTAGTACCTTTACAGCTACCAGTCCTGGCGAGAGATGTCGCTATTCACTGTATTAATTAAATTTTTATTGAATTCATATTCAATTATTTTTTGTGAAATTACTCCACTAGTTTGTTATAATTATTAATACAAAGATCGAACACTCAGAAAAAACACTCAGAAAAAATTCCTTCGATCCGGTCGGATTCGAACCGACGTCTTCTTGCATACCGTGCCAGACGCTATACCAACTAAGCCACGGAACGAACCAACGGACCTCACGAATTTTTCTATGTGTCTTTGTACTTGGTTTTTTCAACGACTTTTTAGTCGTAGCGCCATCTATGAGAAATCTTTGACAGATTATCACCCAGTTAGTACCTTTACAATTATATATAATTATATTTATAATTATAACAAACTAGTGGAGTAATTTCACAAAAAATAATTGAATATCAATTCAATAAAAATTTAATTAATAAAAAGTCAGTTTTTGATTGATATGGATGGATAACGGGTCAGGTTGTCGGGTTGCATCCCCACCAGTGCATCGCAATTTTCTTCATTCAAATATCTGGCGGCTGCCGTTATTGAATGTGTACCATGCTGCGTATGCGTGTTGTTAAGTTTTGGTTTTTCTTTGTTGTTATGTTTGTGTTCGCTTGCGTTCGTGTCAACATAACCACAATGGAAGCAGAAAAAGGATCACGCCCTGCAATGTCTGTAACCGCGAAGGTAATGATAATAAATGCCTACTAGCATACATTTCAAACCTGGCCACTAAATGAATATTGGTCTTTGTGCAAGTGTGCCAACAAAACTGATAAAATTCTGGGGATAAATGAAAGAACCGTTCGAAGAATAGTTTGCAATGTCAATATTTGACATGTTAGCCACTAATATCGAAAACGAAACATAGTTTATGCTCCCAGTATAAAGAATATTCTAACATGTTTCTTTTGCGATTTTTCTATGGGCCGTGACCATTTTCATTTCCGTGTAATTTTTTAAATGAAAATATTTTATGACACAAGAAGATTCTAAAAAGTTTTGTAAATTGTTCAACCCAAAAGAGTATTGTTCCATTATAATTATTGTTCAAATCAGAATAGAGTAGAACCTGTTAATAAACGAACGTAGAAAAAAGGTTTAAGATCTGTGAGATGTCACTTTGACAGTGACAGTTGTTTGTTTACATCTTAGTTCCTTTATTTTTTCCATCCTCTAAGGTTTACATTTTTGGACTTCGACTTCATCTCAGAGTTTACATTACACCTCATTTGCTAGTTTATGGTAATTTAATGAATATGTATGGTGCGTGTATTCATTTTTAAAGTAAGAATTTTAATCGTAGGCCATGAATTGACTTCGTTTAATTACTACTTTGTTTAAAACCTATAAATTACAGATAATGATTTTTGAAATTTACTAAAATAGCTATTGAAATTGCATTTGAATTATAGTTATGGGTTTTAAGCCTACAATATAATACAAAACACTTCACACATCTACACATCGTTCAGAATGCGTCAGAAAAATAAACTATAATAATAAGGGAATCTTTGCTTTAAACATCGAGTATATAACCAAAAACAGACGAAATAAGGGCCATCCATCCCTGGCACCTCATCAGGCTAATGGGCCTTATATCACTTTCAAATATCAACTCTCGTTTGCGCTGAAATCACGAATTAGAAAGCTGAAATAGTACAGCGCCAACAACTGACCAGTGCGTACGTCTCCGTATATTCTAAAAATATTCTGAATTTATTGTAATAAAGATAATATCTCTAACTATGGGGGCTGTGCCATTCGATGCCGTAGAAAAAACAGCAAACATCTAATTACAAAACAAACGGAATTACAATTCATTGGTAATTTTGCAATTATCGTCCATTATAGTAAAACTCTAGTTAAACTGGTCGATTTTAAGTGAAACAATTGTCGACACTCGTCAATTGTTTCGAATTCGGGCTGGCCAATCGGAGCGCCACAGTTGTGACAGTAATGATTTGGCAGAATAGTTTTCAAACGAATTAAATGACATTTCGTCTCTGTTTCTGGTTATATACTCGACGAATGTAAATGATAATGACAACACGAATCAACATTACGGTGCTTTAACCATAGCAATTACACGCAGAGATGGGCAGTGGGTAAAAACACAATCAACGCGTCTGGAATTTAATCAAACTGCCGGGTGTTAACCCATTTCTGCCCAAAATCGTGAGCATAAACAGTGAATATGGAATTTGGTATAATTCCATACTTATTACAAAGTTACAAAGCTCGATGTAAGAAATAATCTCTTTTTAGACGAAAAGACCCTTTGTCGTCCTGTTTAGATTTGTTTGCTTTTTGCTTGATATGTGTTTTATTGGTAAATAGTAAATAAATAGTTAGATTTTAATTAGATTAACGTTGTTTGTTTTGTTGGAGACCTATATTCCGACAATGTTCTACAGAGAACACAAGCGGAGATTGAAAAACAGCTCTATGCTTCATCCTCTTCATGACTCATAGCTCATGATTTTTTAGTACATACATGATATCGTCGCCATTATGTAAGATATGATTTTCTATTGAAATGTGTGAATAAAGACCTATGTTTTTTTTTAATTTTAAAAAGAGGCAGCTCCACGCTATACTTTGCAATCCTGTGGATTCCCACTACTGTGAATTCTCATTACGATCCGATTATGAAGAGTTAAGTGACAATTTTGGGCGTTAACGAGTTTAAGCCTGATTTAAAGCCAGCGTTAACAAAGAGCCGGGTTAAAACCCGGGCGTTTGCCCATCTCTGGATATTCGAGAGTAACTGCTGTAGTTACGCTGCAAATTCAATAATATAAGTATAAATAATATAAGTGTAAATATAGTAATATAAGAAATAACAAAGTAATAACATTAAATCCCTCTCCTGTGAAAGTCGGTTTAGCGAAAATATGCGCTTTTCACCAATGCTACATACGAGGATTTGCACTATCCCCGACGTTATGTCATTAGATTCTGGTACATTAACATTATGTAATTTTTTTTTGGGTGCGGTTCGTAATATATAACAACAAATGACATATTTTTAGTCGATATAACGCTCAACAGATATAATTAATTTATGGTATACAGACATTTGACATATTCTTGTATGATATAAAGGTCACTGGGTATAATAGACGACTGATAGAACAACTTTCAGTCTAATATACCGATGGCATAATGTTATATAAACACTTCAGATATAACATCATTGCTAGTTGGTTCGTCTCCTCCTGTGGGTGTAGGTTAGGTTAGGTTAGTACTTATGCCAATTGTTCAATCATTATGCCACTTAATCATTATGTCTAATGTTTGTTATACTGAAGGTTCATTATATACATTGAAATGTGGTGGTGGAGTGGTTATATCCTTAGAAATTATATCTAATGTTGTTATACACAGTGAAAATAGATTATTTGTTGTTATATCTTCCATTACACACCCAATTTTTTTACAGGCCTTCAGCAACTCACGGATGGACCTCTTTTGGAAACATGTTTTTCACACCAAGGTATTATTACCTATATATATATAACAAAATAAAGGATCGACATACAGCTATATACCCCATTAGTACAGACGGATCAATTTATCTGTAATAACCTCAGTACAGAGTACTAAAAAAACCGACCTGAAAAATTTGTGGAATTACATCTATTTGCCAAGTTTTTTTTTGAAGTCGGTTACCGGAAAGTGGAATATTTTCTTACTTACTTAGAGGTGGAATATTTTCTTTAAATTTAAATGGGACTTACTACTAAGGTTAAAAAAATCATTAAAATTGATTAACAAATATACAAAAAAAAAATTACATTTGAATTTAGAACCTTCTCCTTTTTTTGAAGTCCGTTAAAAAGAGTTACGGTCCAAAGCACCGTGGCATCTGATTAAATGTTTTTCAACATCATAAACTTATATTTAGGCCCCCAAGGAGAGATAAATAAAAGTGGAAACGGACGTGTTATCTATCGTCAGTTGCTCAATTGCAGTGCAGTTTACTCATTATAAATACTTGAAAATCCAACTGGACCCACCAGTGGAACCAAGAGTGGAACCAACAGTTCGGAAGAATTTTTTCTGATGACATAATATGTTGATTGACAAGAAAATGCGATGATAATTGTCTCGATCACAAATTTACTCTTGTTTGATTATGCGTGTCGATCATAAAAAAACGAGCAAATCATGTACCTTTAGATACAGGTCTAAACAACTGAAATATCATACACAGTGTGTCCCTTAAAGCGACGAGTTAGTCACGTCTTTCTAGCTACCACGAATTTAAGCCATTAAAACCTATTTATATAATTATGCCTATTTAGTCATAATTATATTTCGTACCCTTGGATGATTTGACTAGTTCACCTGGGTGGACCACGGGCCAATGTATTTTTCCCGTAGCTCACCTCTAAGCTAAACAATTACTTGTAACTTCTTATAAAATAAAACCGACCTCTAAAGCTTATGGAATTACATATATTTGGTACTTACTAGTTATTACATATAAGTTTTATTGAAATTGGTTAACGGAAAGTGGGTGAAATCAAATAACCCGGATCATCCCCTAATTTGCCACCATTTTCTATTAAACCAACGTTTTCTATTAAACCTAACTTAATCTAACCTTTTTTTTTATTACCGTGAGGAAAATGCGTTACGCATTCCCCGCCGCTGAGAGACGCCGGGGATATGTGGGACTCTCTCCTGGAGACTATGTCGATCCCCAAGAGCATACCCACTAAAAACCTCACGATGTTCCTGCGCGCACCTGGCGCCGGAGCCGCCGGGTCCCTTTCAGATGCTACCGCGACTCCGGTGGTGCTGGTCCGCCTGTGGGCGGACCCCTACACCATCGCCCCCTTGATCACGGGGGGCGACCTGCACGGAGATGCCCCGGAACATTTGGGGCATCTACCGGCGGCGGAGGCCTGTGCAATGCAGGGGCAGGGTCTCCCAACCCCGCACCCTGCTGGCCTCCGCTGATGGGACGCAGGCGGTCGGCGAAGAGCCGTCGCATGCGTCCTCTCCGCCGACGCCGAATGGGGTCCGAGAGGGCGCTGTCTTCGCGGACCCGTTCGGCTGTCTCCTTCTGCGACATCACGTCCTCGCAGAAGGAGACAACTTAATCTAACCTAACCGAACCAAATCGTGTCTTTGCGATAAACATCCAACATATACTTCGGATCTTTTTGTATTTGGCTTTCAACGACTCATTGGCAAGGCTGGTAGCTGCAAATTTTCTAACTGGGTGACTAAATACTTCCATAGATTTCTCATAGATGGCGCTACGGCTAAAAAGTAGTTGAAAATCAAATACAAGACACGACAACAAGCACATAGAGAAATTCGTGAAGTCCGCTGGTTCGTTCCGTTGCGTAGTTGGCATAGCGTCTGACACGGTTTGCTAGAAGACGTCGGTTCGAATCCGGCTGGATCGAAGGAATTTTTTAAGTTATCGAAGGAATTTTTTAGTAATAATTTAAGTGTTCGTCATCTTTGTTTTAATAATTATAACAAACTAGTGGAGTAAATTCACAAACAATAATTGAATATCAATATAAATTTCATATATATTTTTTGTACTTGATGCCCAAAGGTGCTTTTTAATTGCAGAATTATTCCATAGTAAACGCTAGCAGGATACAATACAACTTGATGCCTGCAAAATATAAAACAGATACTTGTCTATACCCTGGTAAGTCAACAGCAGACTTTGCGAGATTAAAACTATGGTGAAACGAAAACTTTACACTATATTTATGTAATTATGACGTTGCCTTTGCTCATAATATTTATTAAAACTTTCAATCTTTATACAGTGTGTTGTTTGCATTATCGTCATATTTAAGAAATTAATAATAGAAATAAGATGCTAAATCCATTGACTTACAATTATATGGACGTCGGGTCCGCGCTAAAAAGTGTCCGAACTTATAGGGCGTTAAAATCGTATACAGAGCGTCATTCACGCTCTAGTCTTCGTTTGTTCGACTGACAGCGAAGCAAGCAAAATTAGACAGTACTGCGATGACATTACAATTTAAATTCAACGTTTTAGCTTTATCATATTCTTTTACATGTCACTACGTTTAAATAGGTTGACTTGGGACATTTTTTTCGTGGTTTTTGTATTAGACCCGTCGTCCATTTATTTGTAAGTCAATGGCTAAATCATCTAAAAATACGAAAAATATATTCTCTTCAATATTCTGGCTAATTGTATTTAGTAAAGTTTTGCAAAATTCTCTTTAAGTCGTAACCTTTATCTTTAACCTATTTTTTAAATTATGATTATGTACTCGTATTGTTATAATTTACTAATTATTTACATTAATTAGAAAAGTTGACTGCAAAAAGTTTTAAATTCGGAAAAATAGATTCATTTCCTATGTGTAACAATAGGTAGGGAAGAACTCGATATGCAAAAAGCTTTTTGTAACTTAAATTTGGTACTTACCAACTTTAGGTTACATGAAAGTATTGCTAGAAGTACCTACCTCCACAGCTGGTGGCTGGCTTCGGTACGAAGAGATTCGCACGTTAGTTTCGTTTCAACTTAGCACATTTGACTTTACAACTTTGAAAGCAGAGATTATTTTTGCGCGCGTGTCTTTGACACTCGTAATATCCTCTGCGTAAATTAAACGTTTCACATCATGCCATAAGAATTGTCATGCACTTGCACTTGATGGTAAAGCAGGTTTTGGTGAACCTGGTAGTGGTTCTTTTTTGCACTAACTCTTGTTTGCAAACCAAACCACGTAGCATTTCGTGAGAGACTCAGGACATAGACGCAGTACGGGAGGCAAGGTCGACTGATCTTACCAATCGCGCGCTCGATACGGTACTCCCCCGCCGTCGCTACGCGCGCTCCACCACCAAATAGAACCAAAACGCGTTTCTGCGCATTTAAAGTCATTGTCCAAGAATTTTGCCGGTACCTGTGCAACTCAATGATCTTTTGGATTAAGCATGTTTTCCGCAATTAAATAAAAAAATAAGAATTTAGGATTTTTTTTCCGCGTTATTTTTTTAATGACGGTGATGATTATGATTTGGGTTCAATTTAGATCGACCTCTGTAATTATGGCGAGAATGCAAGACAACACATTTTATACTTCTTCTATTTCAAAATTTTCACTTTAAAAAACTCGAAAGAAACAGAGGTTACGAACATAAACAGAAATTGTTTATAAATTTCTCACTCATTCACATAATGTTTTCCTTTAGTATTAGTATTAATATTAAGTGGATATTATTAACTTATATATTGGACGTATTATATACATATATTACCAGTCACTCGCTCAAGGTTATAAGTGCATAATACACTCAGCGTACCGACGTGGGCACATTCGCTCATACAAGTGTTTCATTTATGAGCATTCGGCTCCGCACGACTGCGTACGGCAGGCAACGTTATTTTCACATCTTTGAGCGCGTGCTTAGGTTCCTATTTCCTCGTAGCGAGCGCCTGCTGCCATTGGTCAGATTTAGTAGGCTATTATAGCGTAGGTATTTTCGATTTTGTATGAGAGTGATGTATCTGTTACGTAGTAACTATTACGTAATCTGTGGTATTACTTCCCTGAAGCTTAGGTAAATATTATTATTATTATTATTATTCATTTATTCATCAGATAACAAAAGATCCATTGTGTTAGTAACATACTTATATCTATGTTAGTTTATATATATACAAATGAACTTTTAATATGCCACCTGACCGCAACATTCCATCACCGCTCCGCGGCTCCGTTAGAAATCGCAGAACAGTGACTCATAAATGTACAGTCAAGCCTACACGAGATCATTTTTAAGATACTGTTGGTGCTGCCCCTCACCCTGCGCACCAATGATGCACACCTTTTACGCATTGTTGCGTAAAAGCAATCAACGCGCGCCGATGCGAACATCCCCGATGCACTGCAATGTCGAGGCAGCCCCAACAATACCCTAAAAGCATTATTATATTGTACTCGGAGGGCATCGTGCGACATTCTGGTGTATCTAGACCACAGGCTGCACGTGTAAAAAGTAGTACAATACGCTCTGAAAAGTGTGAGTTTCACGTCATAGGAACACCGTGCAAACCTGCGAGCTATCATGTTCGCTCTTCGCGATAATGCCCTCCTTTCCCTCTCAATATCATCGTTGTCCTTGAGGTCAGCCGTAACAATATGTCCCAGATATTTAAATTTATTTACCCTTTGAAGGGGTACACCATTCAGTTTCACGGGAGGTACAAATGATATTTTACTGCCGCCGGCCTCAAAGACCATAACCTCACTCTTCTTGACGTTATACAACAATCCATGTTCTCTTGCATATTCCTCGCATATAGCTACTAGTTTTTTCAGACCACAGATAGACGCACTCAGCAAAACCATGTCGTCTGCGTAGCTAACATTGTTGACGCATACTCCGTCGACATGGCATCCGACATGCGTGCCGCTGAGCGCACCTATCAGCCCATTTACATACACGTTGAAGAGCGCTGGTGAGGTCAACCCTCCCTGTCTCACCCCACACTCCAACGCATATGATCTCGACAGTGACCCTGCCCATTTGACATTGTTTACCTGGCCTCCATACCAGTATCTTAGAATATTAATGATTTCCGATGGGACATGTGCGTCTATTAGTTTCTTCCATAGTAAATCGTAGGAGACCAGGTCAAACGCCCTTGAAAGGTCGAGGAAACATGCAAAAACATCTGTTTTTCGATTTGTGTAGTAGTTAACGGTATGCTTGAGGCATAAGATTGCACTTTCTGTTGATAGTCCAGGTCTAAACCCGAATTGGTTATCGTGCAGTTGTAAGTATTTATTCAAATGCGTCTCAAGCACACCGTCAAACACTTTTGCAAGTACAGTAGCCAACGAGATAGGCCTATAATTATTCACATCTGAGATGTCACCAGTTTTATTTTTTAGTATAGGTACCACAATAGTTCGTATCATTTCCGCCGGTAGGTACGCGTGCCCAATGCACAGTGTAAACAATATAGCTAACAGTTTAGGCATTTCCGAGCCCGCGTATCGCAGATGCTCAATGCTGAGGCAATCATGGCCAGGGGATTTGCCTCTTTTCATATTTTTAATTATATCAGTGATATCCTTAGGAGTAATTTCAATGCCTAGCTCTGTAATTGCCCCAACATTGACACCAGACGACCGCGATTGCCCCAAGGGCGACTTTACAGCAAAATGGTCGAGAAAAAGGTTTGCAATTCCAGTAGGGTCGCTGACGCCACCAACACTGACAGGGAGCCCCGGCCTTAAATTTAATTGGTTAGTACTTTTCCAGAACGAACGAAAGTCATTGCGAGAATGATGATTGACTAGAATATCCATTTTTATTTGCTCTTCATGATCTTGGGCCCATTTAAGTCGAGACTTAAATATCTTTTTACTTTCGTACATGTCATCGTACAGACGGCCTGATTGCGGTTCACCATAAGAAGACCAAATCAAAAATTTTTGCCTAGCCTCCCTGTGTGCTTCGGCTACATGCTTATTCCAGCCTACAACTCTCTTTCTGTTCCTACGCACGACACTATTTTTACTATACACAGCAGCCTTACTTAACACAGAAACAATTTTGTTATACAATTCATCTATTATATAACGGTGACTTGTATCATTACAATTTTTGTTAGAACACTGACCGAGTGCTTCTGGAAAATCAATACGTTTAAGATTACTATCACATGTTTCATAGTACAAGTCTATCTGTTCAGTACTTCTAACGCCCCATAATATCTTATTATTTTGTACACGTGATTGACAATTTATTTTTGATTGTACGCCTTTTAACGTACACTCGATCACCACCGGAAAATGATCAGACCATAAAACATCATGTTTTATATACACACTTAATACTGTAGAAACGGCTGCCTCTGTGACCACACAGTGATCGAGCCATCTTTTGCAACCATACACTTCGCTTATGTATGTATAACTATTAGATTGCAAACCAAGTAATTTTGTATCAATACATAGCCATTGCTGCTCTCTACAGAACCCTTCAAGTTCATCATAAAATTTCTCAGATGGGTGGGCATTAAAATCGCCCATAATGTACACAGATTCAATATTATAACTGTCTATAATAGCACTCACCGCGCTACACGTATCTATAAAGTCCGCTAGATTAGCACTCGAGTCGGTTGGCATATAAACACTCATGACTAAAATCGTTTTTTCACTCAGCACTATCTTAATCGCACAAATACGGGGATTATTACACTGCACAACAGAAACATTGTTAAATGCACTTCGTTTCCACAGTAGAGCCACTCCACCATAGGGTCTACCGCGTAACATACCTGCGGCTGAGTCAATTGCTGAGGTTCCTGTGCTGCAGAAGTCGTCATGTATGCTATTTAAATACGGAATTTCCTCCAGTGTCAGCCAAGTTTCCTGCAGCGCAATAACATCAGAACAAGTGCATAGGTCTCTAATTCCGTCTATAGAACGTTTTACATTCTTACAATTATATGTAACAAATCGGTATAAAGACCTATCCATTAATGTCCCGGTTAAAATCGCCGATTAGGGAACTTTTCTCAGTTCGCTCAAAAGTATTCGGTCTAAAATGTACAAACCGTCGAAAAACGATACCCTTAGGCCATAATTTGTCATCCAAAAAGATATGCACTTTATTCACAGGCACAAAAAATTTATAGGCGTCGTGCGCACTATGTCTTTTGATTGATATTTTTTGTAACGCGACACTTTCATTAACCTTTCTGTGAATATAATTCGTTATGTCTGTTTGGGTTGTATCCTTATGTACATTAGTTATAAATATAGGCGTTTTCTTTTCAGCCGCTTTAAATCTCTCGCCTGTCTCAAAAGCAATGCCCGATTTCGCGGCAAATCTTTTATTTAACTTACGCCTTTGTACTAAGGTCCAGTTTCCCTCCTCATTACGATTAGTTTCATTTGATTCAGTTGTAATCGTATTTTGTGCTGCGATCATCGAGTAAGAATGTTTACTTGTATTCCCATTATATAAAACATTTCCGATCACCTGTTCGGCCGGCTCGGTCATTGACAAATGTGACGTCACACCGTCTCCGCTGTGGCTAGCTTGAATTGCGGGCTGTTGCGCGCTGTGCGAATATAGCATCGTTGACTTTTTTTTGTTTTTACCCTCATCGTGATTTTCATTTATTATATTTTTATTTGTATTTTTCACGTTTGGAAAATCTTGCGTCTCTTGAGACTTTTGCTGCACCTCGTCATCACTCAGGGTAGTCTCATTGAGCTGAGACAGTCCCATCGGACCACTATCACTATACGCTCCTCGTTTGATATTTACATTGCATATCGATGGGGGTAGTGATGAATATTTCATGTCCATAAACTCTTTTCTCATATCTTCCAGCTGATGTGTTGTTGCATAGGACGCCTTTATGTCCTTTATCTCCTCTTGCACCAGGACCAAATCCTTAAGGAGCTTAGACACGTCTAGATGGTCGAACGTGACAGGAGGAAGTAAGTCTAAATTCCGAGCAACAAAGACGGGCATCATCTCGGAGTCTGTGTATTTCATCGTACTGATGATATCGGTCAGGTCGCGATTCTCCTTTCCATCACCTTTGCGCACAATTTTTCGTACATCGCATGGCAGCGATTCAAACAGTAACGACTTTGATTTTGCAATTTGTTTACTAGAATACACTGAAAGGCATATTCTCACTAAACTTTCATTATCAATTACTGATAGTTTATTTTGTATGTACGCAAGTAATTCATCTATAACGATATTACAGCGGTTACACTTCACTATCGAACTCATTTTACGTAAACAACGACCGCACTTTTATGCGACCGCTCACCGCGCGACGTAGAACGAAACTGTAAAATATATAATATAATATAATATAAATATGTAAAATATACTCTGTTCATTCTGGGGTACTAGCTAGTACACCCTAATACATAAAAAAGTTGATATAATTGAGCGATGGTCTTTATATGTTATGTATAAGAGTTCGTCTTGAGAAATTAATATAACGCGCATAATAACGCGCAGGCACTCATAGCCCTGCTCTAGGGAAACCCTGTGTCGCGGGTGCCATGGACACATACATAGAACACCACAAATTACACCCAAGCTCACGAGAGAAATAAATGTGGGCCATACAAATATTTCTCCCGGCCCGGTAATCGAACCTCACCCGGTAATCAGACCTCTGCGTGGCTAGCAATCCAGAAAGGCAACCGTTCGGCCACGGAGGCAGTTGTCAAGGCACATGGGACTTGTGAACTTATGTCTCAGGGTGGCACAGTGGCAGTGCCCCTTATATGATCTTTGCAATTTAATGCTCTGAGTGGCAGTGTAAGTGCTTTGGACAGGCGTGTCGCTTACCAGCAGGCGCACGAATTGGTCGTCCCGTCACTTGGTGTCATAAAATAAAATTATGATCTTTTCCAGAAGTAATAGTAACGTATTGTAAGGTAATTACGTGTCTTGATTTTCAGCAAAGTACAGACACTATTACCCTCTGGAGGAACTGACGATGCCGTGGCCTTTCCACTGGATGAATATAAGCAGCAACGTGACTCAAATTGTGACCACTTACAATCGATATATTGTCGAATTGAACCAAATTGCCGATATAGTAAAATACACTGTAAGTTGCATCTGATTTTACGATTGTTGTAAGCTGTATTTGTTACGGGTTTGCTGTAAGCTGCATCCTGTTACACGACAGCTGTAAGCTGCATCTATTTCACTTTTGGTGTAAGCTGCATCTTATTTACGATTAATGTAACGTGCCTCTAATTAGAATTACATTAAGCCGGATTTTTACTAGGAAATAATTGTTGCGCGTCATAACGCCCGGTATGAACAGAACAACGGAAGACAACGCCACACGTCGCACACACATGTAAATAACACACACGTGTCTACACCTGTAAATAATTATGTTAGTGTATAACTTAACTATCAAAGCCCCAAATAAATAAGAAGTAAAAAAATGTATTTATGGGCCTTATAACCTGAGAATATAATAAATAAAAAAAAAGAAAAACAAGTAGTGTAAATCCATACAAACGTAGAAGCGCAACAGTATGTATGCACAGGGTCAAAATTGTTAACGCTTTTAAAATTTTATAACTACTGACAAATGGTGAAATTACAGTCACATGGGACTTATCAGCTTATGTGTATGGAGTTCTCTCAGATCTTTGCGATTCAAAGCTTTGAGTGGTACTGCAACTGTTATGGACAGGCGCGTATCACTTGATATTGTAAAAAAAAAGCAGTTCATGGAGATCAGTTATTTAGTTTTTGTATTATATTATGTAATATGCATGTTACGCACCTTTAGAATGAATGTAACCTAATTAAAAATGACAGTAAAAATCATTTGAACTGACCATTTGAAGCTCGAATGGCACAGACCCGTAAATTTTTACACACGCCTATACTTGGTAGTCTTTCTTTCACAATTAAAACGGCTTAATCTTCAAAAAGGTCATAACATTTTGCTTAGCTGGTAAAAGTAACGGACTTAATTCTTGTCGGGTCAAATGAATACAAAAAATTTAATAAAAAAAGTGACCTTACAGCGACTGGTTTTTGTAAGTTAATTAAAAAAAATTAGAAATAATTTTTGTGGTTATAAAGCTGAGTATTTCATTATTATTTTTCAGGACTAAGAAGGTTAGGTTATGTTACTATTAATACTTCAAGAGTAATTAATTAAATAATGTAAAAATGTCAATTTCAATTTCTTTTTACGTATTCTCAAATAGTTGGAATTTTGTGTTGGGTCTCTTTTGTTCTGAGGTGCGATTAGTCCTTATGTCATATCCTATATGGGTCACAGTTGCTTGATCTAAATAAATAAATAACATTTTGATCTGTGTTTGGAAGATCTTTGTATTAATAAACACTACTTTTATTCTGTCTTCGTCTGTCAAGTTTTCTTTTTTATTGCAGCACTCATTCATTGTCATACTACTGCTTCTGTACATTCACATGCCATCTAAATCGGAATTCGTGGAAGCGAGATCGTTTAAAGAAGACGAAATTAAAAGATACGGTACCCACGAAGCATTTATGATATTAGATGATGAACCACTAGACATTATGCAATAATAGGTAAACAATGTAAATAAAACCATCTTTGAGATGCTTCTGAGGCTCAATTTACAGTGCCGCAGGAACTGAATGAATTTTTTCATAGCATACTGAACTTTATATTAATTGTTGTACTTTTTAGAACTAGAAAAAACGTAAACAAAGAAGCAGTGATCGTAAACATTTTTAATCATAAAACAAATTACAATAAGGGGAACGTTCATCATCATCAACCTTTTAAACGTCCCACTGCAGGGCGCGGTTCTCCTCTCAGGCGATATTCCGTCACGCTGGCCCATTTTTCGAAGGTTGTGAACCTTTTTCAATGTGCGGATTCTTCACCGAAAAGTTCATGGTACATTTCAAATTAAATTTCGTACATAAATTCCAAAAACCACAGGATTTCATGACAGTGAATGACACCATGTTATTATTTGATAAAAAATGTCCATTTAGTGTTTACAACCTCTGTTCCTTTTAAGTTTGTTATAGTGCAAATTTTTTTAAATAGTTTAAGCATCTGAAGTTAGAAAATTAGTCTAGTGAAAACTACAAGTCAAATGTAGTAAAAGTGTTTGCCAATTTTGTTTTACGTAATAAATACTTATTATAATTACTTTGCTCATAAAATGGCGAGAATTCTCGCGCATTCTCGGGATTTCCTATAGCGACGGTAATCGTATCTGAGAATTAACGAATGGTATTTATTCACCTATAGATACATATTATAAATCTAGATTGTAATGTTACACTATTGAAATGACGTTCATTATGCTATGTACAATGTCACCTTAAAACTAGTTGGCGTTGTGCAGTCAAGTGTTAAAGTCGCAGTTACGTTTGTATGTGCTCTAATTGTTATGTGTAATAAATCTCTAATACATTTGATTTTGTTTTATTTTTGGCTTATCCTTGTAACAAACGTGAGCTTCCATTTTTCTTTTGTTATGTAAAAATTAAACGTTTCCTGTGTAATGAAACTTAAGACGTAGAATCTAATTCTTTGTTTTTTTTTAAATGATATGCGTACTGAAAGTTGCTTAGAAATCCATGGAGCGTGTCAAGCTCGGTATGAAGCTTATAGACAGTGTTCACAATGTCCAGATTCGAAGCTGAACAAAGGTAAAGGTCGTGGGGAACCGTATCACGAAGCTAAAATGGAGATGGTTGTCCAAAATACATTTACATGATCGATATATAGATGATAATACGAAAACGAGTTGAAAACATAATTCAATCTTCCTGTTCTGCTAATTCAATCATTGTCAAATGTTGTGTAAAAACATTTTCGAATAAATCAAATCCCACAAATTTGTAATCAATATTCATTGTTGCAATTAGAAAATGATCGCAAACCTATTTATATAATCAATAATCGTTAAAACAAAATTCAATTATGACTAGCCTCCCCGCGAGATGCGTGAATGTTATCTACGTGGAGATGATGCAAAGAGATTGCTCGGTAAGGAGATGTACACAAGCTTGCATGTTACATAACGATAAATTGAACTTCACACTTTGATAATGCTTAAATGTCAAAAATTAAAATGGAATGGAAAAATATCGCTCGGGCAAGTTATCTCGGGGGAACCTCCCACGGTGGGGGACTGTATTTGGCTTTGATATGCAAAAAGAGCTTTTTGGCCGAGTCGTCAGCGATGGTAGCGGCGAGCGAGAGCCGGATGCTCTCTTCAATGGCGGCCTGCGTCATGGCGCCAACCACCGACACAGAGATGCTTTTATTCATCGGTCTGAACTCTACGGCATTGGCCAAGCTCATGCTGCGTGTCTGTTTCGCATACCCATTCAGCGTCCCGTTCAGAATGAACGCTTTCTTCGCCTCGCTGACGGGCGTCGAAGCGAGGCTTTGGCTGCGAGACTTGTGCGTCATAGTTGTAGTTGACTGAGTGTGTTTTGGGGTGGCTGCTACGCTACTTGCCCGGCTTTTCGCTTGGTTGAGGCGGTCGGTGCCACAGAAAGACTTTTTGTCGTCATCCTTTTGTAACGCAAGGCTCACGCTGCGGGACTTTTTGGGAGCATTGATGAGGTTCGTGGTCGTGAGGGATTTGCGAAACTCGGAGGTCGGAGTGATGGTACGCGCAGAGGAGGGTCGAGTCAAGGTCGGAGTGTTCGGAGTGCTAAAGCTCGGTGCGGACTGTTGCCGAAATGCGGCGACTGTCTAACGGAGAACTCTTGCCACTCGCCTTGCTCGAAGGGCGAGGTCGTTCCGGCTTTTCAATTAGGAACTTAGTGAAGCGCGTTACGACAAACAAAAATACACGTTCGTCATCTGCCGTTCTCAGTAAGCTAAGAAGGTAAGAATAGCGAGGCGAATTTCTAGCGAGGTGAGCCAGAAAACGGGTAGGCACCGCTGTGTCTTGGAAGAATGCTACGGCGTCTCCCGAAGACTCAGCACGTGGTGCAGCGACGCGTGCCGCTAAGTAGGTGACTCATATAACCTTCCGTCTGTATTCCCAGGTGGAAGGTATCCTTAATGGATTTCTCCACGTAAAGAAAAAGGTAAGAGGAAGCTAGGAACGTGAACGTAAGAGTCGTGCGCCTGATGGTAAGCTACACGCCTGTCCAAAACAGTTGCAGTGCCATTCAGAGCTTTCAATTGCAAAGGTCTGAGAGGCACTTCCTTCACTGCACCCGTCACCCTGAGACATAAATTGACAAGTCCCATGTGCCTGTAATTTCACCAGCACCCTTACCCATCAAAACCGGAACATAGTAATGCTGGCATTACTGCTTGGCGGCGGAAATAGGTAAGGTGACAGTACTACCCTAGACGAACTCTACTGTGCTACTAAAATTTTAATTTTAATCGGAGGTATAGAAAAAATATTCCCGCTCCCCTACCGATCGGAATTCCGATTGAAAGACAATGTATTTTGTTATGCGTTTGGCTGCAGAAATAGCTATGCGTTCTTCTTCGTTTGTAATAATTACGCACCTACATAATATTCTCTTTGATTTTTCTTAATAGAATAGATCACTCATATCCAATATAATCTTTAGTCTATGGTCAAAGGTAACGACATTTTATAGTACTTTTAAGCTTCAAAACAGTATAACTAAATTATCTGTTAGTTATTTTAAATTTGTAAAAAGTATTGTAAGTTTTGTAAGTACATGATAATGAAAGTTCTGTGGGCAAAGGAAAAACCAAAAGAAGAAAACAAATGCAGGGTAAAAATACTTATTTGATATTCATATTAGATATGGAAAACAATGACAGGCACATTGGGATGGCCACTATTTTCGTAGGGACAACAATACATATAGTTATACTATATAGTAATAAGACTAGAGTAGGTAACTCCACCCGACGAAGCAGAGCGCCACTCGTCTTGTATGGATGCACATATGTTGCATACTACGGATCGCACACACCATTCATTATAGAACTGCAAACTGGACGACAGCGACCGGTTGGACTGAACAAAAGCTGACCTATAGAAACCGAACTTAGAAAATGTTAATAATTAAAAAATATACCCATATTATATTATTTTTAATCCTTGTTTCAAGTAGAACAGGTCTAAATAAACATTTTACATTATTGTAATTTTTCGTCTACGGCCGATAATTATCTAGAAAAGCATTTACTAAATGTAGATCAATTTTAAAATTTTTATAAAAATCATTATTCATGCTTGTTTGGAATAAACTATATCTAGATACAACACTTTTAGTTCTAATAAATTTCTCTCTACGTCTAATAGTTTTTGAGGAAATCGGACAGATAACTCTTTCTTAGTTCTCCAAGATTCTTTTTTTAAGCTTAAATAACATAGGGCTTAGGTGGCGGCTTTTGGCTTCTCCATTTTCATATTAACTAAACCCACAGGAGGGGATCGAACCAACTCGAAAACGGAAACAAATTCGCCTCTGTCACTCGTCGGCCGCTAAAACAAATTTAAATTACAATTATATAATAAAAAAATGTCTATGTTTCGTGTTCGTATTGTCCTCTTCGCTTCAGTATGACCCAGTGACCAACGACGCGGTGGCGCCAGTGACGCGAGTGGCGGTTCGCGACTTGATCAAAATGTTAGGTTTCTTCTTTTCCTTAAGGTACGTGAAAGTTGGCAGTCAGCTCCACATATTTATCTTTATTTCTGGCGAGGCTGAACAGTTGGGCAGCACTCGCTATCCCAGCCCACTCTCGTAGGTTCCTCAGACACGATTTTGTCATACGGCCATGTTTGCATTGTGCTATTCTCGATGGCAGCGGTGCGGGCGGTGGGACACAAGAGCTCCAGTGGTGGATGAGCGTTAGAACCTTCGTAGTCTTATCATATTGTTTACTTACATTTATTTATATATCTATTAATCAAGTTGAGACGTCGTTTGAAGATACTGAAGGACCAGCAATATGGAACAGCAAATTGTTTTTTTTTTAATTATTAAACAAAGATCGGACAAATAAATGAAAGATAGAAAAAAAAATACTTTAATCCGGCTGGTTTCGAACCAAAGTTTGCCAGTAAACAAAGAGGCTATGCCAACAAATCACGGAACGAACCTCCAGACCTCACAAATTTGTCCATGTGCTTGTTGCAGATCTTCGTTTTGGCTTTTAACGACCTTTTTGTCGTAGCGTCTTTGTTAGAATTTTATGAAAGCTTCGTGAGTTCAGTTGGTTCGTTCCGTGGCTTAGTTGACACAGCGTCTGGCACGGTTTGCAAGGAGGATCGAATTTTAATTTTGCAGCCTAAAAGATGACATGAAAGTAGTAATTGTCTTTATTGTTGTGTTTACGATGATACTAAAAATAGGGAGTTATAAGTTCAAAGCTTATGTTTGTGTACCTGCCTGTCTATGATATCGTAGCTTTAAACGAATGGACTTACAGCATTTGAGAAGATGGTCATCAAATATGAAGAGCATCTTTTCAAATGTTTAAAGATCATCAGTTCTAATTATTAATACAAAGATCGAACACTCAGAAAAAACACTCAGAAAAAATTCCTTCGATCCGGTCGGATTCGAACCGACGTCTTCTTGCATGCCATGCCAGACGCTATACCAACTAAGCCACGGAACGAACCAACGGACCTCACGAATTCTTCTATGTGCTTGCGTCGTGTCTTTGTACTTGGTCTTTCAACGGCTTTTTAGTCGTAGCGCCATCTATGAGAAATCTATGAAAGTTTTATCACCCAGCTAGATATCTTTACAGTTACCAGTCCAGTCAGTTTCGTTCCGTTGCTTGGTTGGTATAGCGTCTGGCACGGTATGCTAGAAGACGTCGGTTCGAATCCGGCCGGATAGAAGGATTTTTTTCTGAGTGTTCGAACTTTGTATTAATAAATATATCATCAGTTCTTTTTAAGCGGCTTTAAAAGAAGGAGGAGGATCTTAATTCCACTGTATTTTTTGTATACTACGCAATTACTCCGACACTTGTGAAGCGATTTCGATGATTCTTTTTTGGAAAGAGGATATCTCAGTAGCGGTCCCTTTAAATGGTTTTGCTCGTTTGCGCTCTGCATCCAACTCCTATTCGTTCCTAGAAAATTCCGAATACGTCGGAGGTCCCTGGTTTGTGGAGGTGCTGCAAAGCGATGTGACTGGATTGTAAATTGTGTGGAGGTGCTAGGATGCTGGTACGGAAGCGTCTGTACAAATCTTTATATTCGTGTAATAGCTAGGGTTTCAATGGCGGCACCATTACATTCGGGTTTATGGCTTCATTTTCGGTCGAAAAACTATTGCAGCAAATTTTTGATAATTCTTTTGTTCCGTTTTGTATTATATTCTTTGTATTATAACTTGGTAAAGAATCAAAAATAAAATTTTAATAAATGGTAAACGGTTCAAAAATAAGACGAGTACATCATTGACTTACAAATAAAGTAGACAGAAGTGTTTGCTACCGCAGTCAGGTCGAGAGTTAAACAGAGAGTAGTTAAACTTGAAAAGAATAAAAAATTAGAGAATTTGATTTAGTAGTTCTGTCCGCACTCGCGGTCGCGCAGAGAGTCACGATGGAACTAAACAAAATCAGAATGCGAGGTAAAATGGAACAATTTTAAATTTAAATATGAGTAGAAGAAAAAACGATACGATACCATTGACTTACAATTATATGGACGTCGGGTCCGCGCTAAAAAGTGTCCGAACTTATAGGGGTTAAAATCGTATACAGAGCGTTATTCACGCTTTAGTCTTCGTTTGTTCGACTGACAGCGAAGCAAGCAAAATTAGACAGTAGGTACTGCGATGACATTACAATTTAAATTCAACGTTTTGGCTTTTTCATATTCCTTTACATGTCACTACGTTTAAATAGGTTGACTTGGGACATTTTTTTCGTGGTTTTTGTATTAGACCCGTCGTCCATTTATTTGTAAGTCAATGGTACGAATGGAGAGAGGCGATACAAAAAGGTGGGATGACGGTATAAGGAGGTCACACCGTCACACTAAGTCCGATTGAAATCCGAGAAAATACAAATATCGCCACCAAGAGATAAAATAATCCCTATGACTATTTCGGACCGTCATTTTTCGAATCCGGATACGAATCTGACGTAGTACTCAAACGCTTACAAATTAGGGGATGATTCCGGTTTATTTGATTTCACCCCCTTACCTTTAACCGATTAAACTTGGCTTTGATTAATTGCACTGCACGATTTAACCGTAGGGCTGTTCGTATTATCGATAATCCCAAACTCACAGACGGTTTGGAGCCCCTTAGCTTACGGACGTTGGCTCTCTGTGTGTGTTCTCCCGTCTTTACCACCGTCTCGTTTCTACCATCACACCTCCCTCCAAAGGAGTAGAGTCCATCCCCACATCTTAGATGCCTGGCATTGTAAGACCACACGGGCATCTCGTTCGTTTCTTCCACGAACCTGCAAGGTGTGGAATGAACTTCCTCCTGAAGTCTTCCCTTTGCGCTATGACATGGGGTTCTTCAAAAAGCGTGTTTACAGGGTTCTCAAAGGCTGGCAACGCATAGGCAGCTCATCTGATGTTGCAAATGTCCATGGATGACGATGACCATCTCCAATCAAGTGGCTCGTCAGCCGTTTGCCTCTTTCTTTACATTAAAAAAAAAATTTAACCGTCGCTGGGTTCGCGGAGTAGCGAATTAATTTACTGCCATTTTTATGTTCACGAGACGTTCGCTGGGTACACGGCCGCTCGCTTTGGTTGAATTTTTTCGCGTTGCGTTAGTTCGATATTTCGGAAATATCGAGCAATCTTGATATTTCCACACATGCAACAGGGAATGTCGCCAATCACAGAAGCAGCAGCAATTCTCTCCGCAACGCAAAACGAAAGACTCCCGAATGTATCAATTACATAATAGATGTTACTCCCCAAACTTTTGAGGTTCGTTTTTTGTTAATAATTCCCGTACGCGTTAGTTTACCATTTGTCCGGTCAACTTGAAATTTTATGATGACATGGCAATAATAATATAGTAACCTTAATTTCATACTGCAATGAGGACAATCTAGACTACCCAACCCTTCAACTACTCACAGTACAACAATCGTGTTTCAGCTCATCGTATTATGGTCTCGACGAGTAGTATGGCTTTTTGGAGTACATGTTTTGTGTCAGGGGTTTTTAAGTCTTATTCTTATTACTATTAATATAATTGTCTATTGTTCTACCCAGCCATTATCGCCAAGAGCATTGTCTCAAGCGTCCGAAAATATTCATAATGCCGCGAAGAACCTGATCGACGTAACATTACTTCAAAAAGAAGACTCTAATTCAAGAAACAGGTTTGTTTTTCTTTCACAAGTTTTTTATGGTTCTATAAATTACCACTTACAAACTGCACAACTTTGTTAAAAATGTCTCCGGTTAGTGGCTTTTGTACGCAGATGCGATGGAGCAACAATGAAATGTAGTTTTTTGGTAGTAAGCGATACACCTGTCAATAACACTTACGGTGCCGGTCATCGATTTAAATCGGAAAAATCCTCGAAACAGTTGAAAAGTCCCAACAATGCTCACATTATGCAAGTATACACAGAAAGAAGAGATAAAGGGTAATTTGCGAACTGTCGTGTTTATATCAGACACGCCTCAAAATATTGTATAGAAAAAAATTTTTAACTGCGAATTTAAAAGAGTGAACTGATATAAGGTTTCTTATGGACGGTGGTATGTCATTCCATAATTTGAACGCGTTATATTTGAAACGGCCACAGAAAGGAGCCGTTTTGTGGGTGGGAAATTATTCCCAGAAAGAGTTCGTCCAGGGTAGTACTGCCACCTTACTTATTTCTGCCACATTACTGTATTCCGGTTTCGAAGGGCAAGGGGTGCTGGTGAAATTACAGGCACACGAGACTTACGTTTAAGGGTGACGGGCGCAGTGGGCAGTGCCTCTGAAATCTTCGCGATTTAAAGCTCTGAGTTGCACTGCAACTATGTACTGCACTGCACTGCAAGTACGTCCTTGTTCTTTCGTCCTGTCATTGACATTATAAAAAATAAAATAAAAAACACGTACGCAAAGAAAACTATCTGCTACTCAACACCAATTAATAAATTAACAACTAATCTACTTTTGTAATATTATTAATATTAACATTATTTGAATTTGAATACTGCTTGGCAACAGAAATAGGTGAGATGGCAGTACTTCTCTGGACGCACTTTTTCACAAGGAGCTCTAGTGCTATCAAAAGTGCTAATCATGCACTTACGGTGCAGTCAAGTCAATTCGGTAACGACCTTAGTGCCGGTATGTAGCCGCTAGATGAGTAAAACCTGAGTTCGATACACGGTAGGATCAATTTAGAAAATGACCTTTTCTAAATTGGTTCCAGAGTTAGTGTTGTTGTTCTGCATTGTGCTCCAGAGTAGCTCTGGTACTCATAGTGCATCTCTGCACTATTCCCTAATCTATCAGGCGCATGACTTGTTTGTCCCGTTACTTGATATTATAAAAATAAAATAAAAAACACTTACGCAAACCAAAGCATCTGCTACTCAACACCAATAGAAGATTTGTTGTTAATATGAGATTAATCTGAGAGGATAAGGACCTGGTAAACTTGTTTTTGCTACACGCCTGTCCATAACAGTTGCCACTCAGAGTTGTAAATTGTCAAGTCTCATTTGCATTCACAAGCACTCCTTACCCTTCCAAAACGGAATACAGTAATGCGGCAGAAATAGGCAAGGTGGCAGTATACCCTGGATGAACTCCTTCAACAAGTAACTCTTCTGCTACTGAAGTCTATGTTAGCTTCTATAGTTTTAGAGATAGATACCGTTTCTATTTATATATTTTTTCTTCCACAGTGATAACCACATAACTTCCAATAAGCAATCGTGTCGATTGTGTGGCGGCAGCACGGGTCCCGTGAAACGGTTCGACGAGATATGTGTCGAAATTGGGGACACATATAAATGTATCTTGTACTACATCACTGGAGTTAAAGTATGTCATAATATTGTGTCATTAGGTTCATCATTGCCATCCACCGGGAAACAATCACTTTTATGCCGGATTTATGCAATCGTGCTCGCTACTCGACTACTCTCTGACTTGCAAAAGACACCATATACTTCACCTTGAATTGCGGCGTTAAATAGCAGACATACACTATCTCATTAAAATTACCACCTCTCGTCGATTACCCCGAGCTTCTGTCTGAGTCATGTAAGCGTTCCAGCCATTGAGTATATAAGCAGAAATAGAGACTAAATGTCACTTAATTTACACAACGTGACAACTGAGCTCCGATTGTCCAGCCCGAATTCGAAATAATTGACGGGTGTCGTCAATTGTTTCACTTCAAATCGACCAATTAACATGAGCTTTGCAAAAATGGACGAAAATTGCAAAATTACTATGTAATATTTCATTACCGATGGAATTTGATTCCGTTTGTTTTGTAATTAGATGTTTCGGTGTTTTTCTTCACACCACCGAATGGAACAGCACACCATTGTTAGAGATATTATCTTTATTACAATAAATACAGAATATTTTTTGGAATATACGGAGACGTACACACAGGTCAGATGTTGGCGCTGTGCTATTTCAGCTTTCTAATTTGTAATTTCAGTGTAAATGAAACTTTATATTTATAAATGATGTATCACTGATGAGTTACCAAGAATGTATGACCCTCATTTCGTCTCTATTTCTGGTTATACTCGATGGTTCCAGCTAAGACGATTGTGATAACGATGATTATTATTATTAACGATTCTCATAGATGGCGTTACGACTAAAAAGTCGTTGAAAAAACCAAGACACGACAACAAACACATAGAAGAATCCGTGAGGTTCGCTGGTTCGCTCCGTGGCTTAGTTGGTATAGCGTCTGGCACGGTATGCTAGAAGACGTCGGTTCGAATCCGGCCGGATCGAAGGAATGTTTTATCATCATAAGAACTACCGACAACCCGATTTCACCCAGGACTATATGCTGCTGTATATATATATATATATATAGGCGTCCCGTAGTTTGTGCCATCCACCACGATGCTGTGCTAGTCTACCCATCTCGCTACAGGACATTCCATGTTTCTATAACCATCTCTTGACCACCATTCGGTTATCGTTTCACTATCCGTCCCACTATTTTTTTTTTCTTCTTTCCATAAAGGAAAAGTTTTACACCATACAGCCAAGTCTTGGTACATTATTCTTTTTGGGTACATGAAGTTGAATTATGTTTCTGTAAATATGGCCGCCACAAAGAGGATAGGCAATTTGAGGCGGCGTGCTTGGATTGACTCGAGATTCGTATAATTTCGCGTTTTAATCTTCGATTAAGGTACAATAGCACTATCCTATTCCACTTTAAACTAGATTTCACAAAATAATTGAAAGTCAAAATAAAAACGACACTTTTCCCTCCAAAAGGTCCAGAGCGAATCTCCCACCATTTATTTAACTTTTGACAGTTCGAATTCTAATCAATTAGTGATGTCTTAATGCGTTTCCGATTCCATTTTTTTATAACAATCGATTTTGTTTATGAAGAAGTTTTAATCGTGAATGGGAGAGGGTTCAAAAAAGAAGATTTTGTCTGATTGTATCGTGATTTTGCGTTTGACAATTTGTGTACTCAAGAATTAATATTAATTAATGTTAATGAGGATTCAAGTTAGGATTACCGAGGAATAATCCGACGATTCATTATAATAAACGATAAGAATTTATTATAATTATTTATAATTTATTTCATTTCATTATAATTTATTAGATAGGTACCAAAATTTATCAATTTGAATAATCTTCTAGGAAATGAAACTATTTTTCCGGATTTAAATCGCGTATATTTGTTTTTTCAAACAAACCGACGTTTCGGGCCCTTTACAGGTCCCATGGTCACGGTTGACTGAAAAAACAAATATACGTGATTTAAATCCGGAAAAATAGTTTCATTTCCTATGTGTAACAATCGCGAAAACCTAAGAACTCGATATTGAATAATCTTCGTTACATAATGTATTAATTGGCATAAATATCGGAGCTAAAACTCGTTGCTTCACTAAAATTTAAGAAAATAAAAGAGTCCTGGAAGTATTACATTTTTTTGTCTATGGTTGTATATCAATAATTACGGAACTTCAGAGGCATGCATATATCAAAAGTTAAATCAATGGTTGGACGGAGCACGGAAATCATAAAAAAGAGAAAATATAAAAATTACAACGATTAAAGCGACATCTCTAGTCAGCTGATGATAGCTCTAAAGGTACCTGGCTGAGTGAAAAATAGATCTCTCACAGATGGACCTACGGCAAAAAGTCGTTAAAAGTCAAAACCAAAGTTCTGCAATAAGCACATAGAACAATTCGTAAGGTATGATGGTTCGTTCTGTGGCTTAATTGGCAGAGCGTCTAGCACGGATTGCTGAAAGGTGCTGGTTCGAATCCAGCCGCATCGAAGGAATTTTTCTTAGGTGTTCGATCTTTGTATTAATAATAGTAAAAAATTACTCTACACAGCTTTGTAAGTCGTAACTCAATTTATATACCGTATATTTTGCATTATATCGTGTATGTATCGCGGGTGCCATGGACACCCACATAGATAACCAAAAATTAGAGCCAAACTTACGAGAGATATAAATGTATGCGATATACATATTTCTCACGGCTCAAGAATCTAACTCTGGGAGCTCTGCGTGGAAGACCAGAGTGGTAACCGTTCAGCCACGGAAGCAGTTAGCGAACGGTTATCATAAATAATAAATATAAGAACCTTTAAAAAGATTTATGATCTATGAGATGTCACTTTGACAGTGACAGTTGTTTGTTTATATTTGGACTCTACATCTATCCCCATAGTATACAAACTCGTGTACGAGTGCGAAATGCCGCGCCGTTTTCACATTCGTATGGTGTTCCATTCAGGCAGTTTCTTGTCAAAGTCAAAGTCAAAGATTATTTATTCCATAGGTAAAATAAATTTACACTTGAAAACGTCACATTTAAGCTATTGATTGGATTGCTCTTTTCAAATAAACTTAAATGCTATGGAATACACTTTGAATCAAATGTGTGTGGATTTTGGAGCCGTGTCGTCTTTCCATACATCTTTATCTAACACATAGTCTTCAATTTTGTAAATATGATTTTTCGATCAAAATATTTTTAATGTAGTTTTTAAACTTAGAAAATGATACACTTAATATATGCTCCGAAATCTTATTGTAAAAACGTATACAGTTCCCCATAAAAGAGTTGTTTACCTTGGTTAAACGAAATCGCGGTACTATGAGTTTGGACTTAGCTCTAAGGTTAATATTATAGATATCTTCTTTCTTATTGAAATTATGT